TTTAAATTAAATTTGGCACACAGATAGTCCAGACCCTAAGAAAGGTCATAGGATACTTTTTAATGCGAAAAAAGGATTGTCAGGGGGTGAGAGACTAGATTAAAGATTGAATGGAAGTATTGTCATTTTTAAACCTGTAAGCTCGAAACATATTTTTAAGCTCTTGAATAGATATCAATAAATATGATATTCAAAGTTTATATTTAAGGGGGTTAAAAATAGGAGATGCAAGTTTTTATGGAAATTCGTCATTTAGAAGCTAGCTCACAATACCACGCGGACATAGTCACGGGCACAGCTAGTGATTTTATGGCTTACTTGTTCAGTTTGAGGAAGACACATGGAGATGACTTGTGGTAGGAGAAATGGTTCTCTTGTATGCAAGGTTCCCAAGCGCGCACATCCAGGTCACACACACCTTACCAGTCGGTGGCAACTTGTCAAAGTCACAATCAAAGATGTTCTGACCTGCACCAGCTGTCTGACCCTTCTTTTTGTACACTGGAAAAAACATTTTCATCATTATGTCAATCATCTGCAGATTCTGCCAAACTGAAGAGGAACTTCACATCTGTGGTTGTAGCCCACTCATGTATAAACGAAATATCTCCTTTGGAAAGTTTACACTCTTTCCCGAGGAGATAAAAACCATCGCTCCTAAGAATATCCTTCAATTCTTGTCCCTGACGGGTCTAGGTAGCGAACTCTGAAAAAGGGTGAGCACAATAGATCTATGTAGGTCGCAGTGCTACAGGTGCTACAACCATCTGGCAATAGCCCACACAACCCTATAAAAAAAAATGAACACATAGAATTTAAATTCTTATAGATTTTTGTAAACTCAATTTTATGCATAAAATAATATTTTAAATTTACACATATCACCTGCATTAGTCAGGTCTGCAAGGCATACTAAAACATGCAAAGGCCTATATGCCTCAAAAAACTTGCTATGCTCGCAGTTTCAAATACATGTAAAGTTATTCTGATGATAAATATCAAAATCCATTCAGTAGATTGTGCTTGAAAGAGTAACAAACATCCATCCATACTCACAAACTTTTGTATTTATAATAATATAATAAAAAAAATATGATATCTATGTATATATTTAATTCGGAACTAAATTTCTATAATATAAATTATAAATAATTAATAATTTAAATTCTGTACTACATTACCTGATAGAAAGTCAATGAGTTGGTCCTCCCAATACTTGTAACTGTCATACCCTGTACCCTTGTACCAGATCAGTGTGCTCCGTACATCTGGTGGTAACGGTCTGAACCCCAACCCTGGGCTGGTGCCAATAACGCTATACTCCTGCTGCAGTCTGGGTACACGAGGATTGATGAAGTGTTGATGGAATGTTACGTAACATATTGCAGAGAATGCTATGAGGCATGTGTAGAATATAACATAGAATAAGAGGAGTTGTCCTGCAACAAGAATCATCATATCATTAATGAAGAAACCTAACAGAAGTAGACAAAATGGCCTATACCTATCTTCATATAGGAGAAAAGCATTGTTAGTTATAGGGGCAATTATCCCACATTGCTAGAAATGTACCTCGTTGGGAGCCAGTCTCATTAACTGGGATAAGCTATTGGTCAATTCCCACAGACAGTATTGCAGGCACTGTGCCATCATACTCATACTTAAGTGCCACATATCATGCTCATAGGCCAACAGTGGTCATATAAGAGTTGCCCTGCCAGGTTGACCTCACGGACCATACGGTTCCCCTAGAAGCCATTGCAGTTAATTCCAACTAAATCCACTATTCTTCATCTGCATCATATCAGACTCCAGTTAGTATAGGTGTTGTCTCACAATATGATTATAATAAAAAAACATCTCTCTTCATTCTACTTATTTCATGGCTTACAAAGCAGACAAGCAGCTTTGTAAGCCATGTTTCAACTTAAAGGTGAGATCTAGCAGTAAAATTACAGAAGAGTAATGTGTCTTCATTCTACATATTTCAGCAAACAAGCAGCTTTCTAAGCTGTTTTAATTTGTAGGTATAGCAGTGCAATTAAAAGATATGTGAGACATGACTTGTTAGTCTTCAGAGTGGCAACACATGGAGGTACAACAAACATTATATGATGACAACCGTGTGCTATTCATGTATATCTTTATAAGAACCATGTATTTTATGTTAAAATAAGCAATTGCAACTAACGAAAAGTTGGGCTGGCAACGAGTTTCCAGTTACATAAAAAAAATATAAATTCAATAAAATAACGTGAAATGTAACTAAAAAAAAAATTAACTATTACTGCAGCTTATTCGAACTTAACAGTTAATTAATTTTTTTTATTAAACTATATATCTAAATAGTATTGTATTCTTATTCAAGCCATTCATAAATAAAATTTATATAAGCCACGCCCCTGAACGCTGGGCGTTTTTCTGGATGTTCTGGCAAATTTATAATAAATGGACTACAAAAAACGACAATTAATATTAAGTATTTAAAAAAAATAGGGCAAAGCAGTTAACTCACCCCATCTTTTTAGTGTTCGTCCAAGAAATTCTCCCGTATTTTCGTTATAACAGTGATCAACGAATTTCCTTTTCCAATCATTCTTATTCTTATACGGCTTTGTTTCCACTTGAAATTCTTGCAAACCAGGATTTCGATACATTATTTTATTCTAATGCACTATTTTTAACGTTAAAAAAATAATATAAATAATTATTACCGGTAAAAAGTCAGAGTAACAAAATAACCAATTTTAATAAATACAAACTTTCATTCGACAATGTCATTCATTCAATATCAAATCAAATTCAAATAAACTGATTGGTTATCATTTATGTCAATCAAGGCAGTAAAATAGAGAATTAGAAGCAAGTCATTTCAAACAACTTGTTGACAGAATCCACAAACCCAGGTTTAGTAAATAGTCCTTATAATGGCTTTTCAATTTTATTTTAAAAACTTTTCATTTTAAACTGAATGGAACTGAATATTACTAAATATATATAGATCTTTTAACCGTTGGCATTGCTAACAACTCTTTACAATTCTATATCCACCTGAGGTGAAAAAATATAATGTGTGGCTTAGGACGTGTGAGATTTCAGACATTTTACATTTTAACTACTAAATTCATTGGTAACTGTTTCTTAATTGTACACAATTTTATAATTTTTTTATAGTAAATATAAAGAATGTGTATAGATGTTTCAATTGATGAGAACGTAATCGCTGTATTTTTCACAAAGTGAATGACTTTGTTGTTCTTTTTTGAAGAAATAAGAACACTGTAGTTTCATACCTTCATGTTTCTTATCATGTCAGAATAGCTGTATGATTGTAATTGATTTTGCCTTTGCAAATGATAAACAGAACTAAAAAAAACAACATGTCAGTTCATGTCGGACTAATTGGAGAATCAATTGCAATTATTTAATAAATACTAGAAATTCTTAAGAATCAAGTCCGTATTTTACAAAAAAATATTTTCAAGCCTCATCTAAGTTGAATCTTGATTTATGCGTTCTCTTCTCTGCTTTGTGGTTGTTTGATTGCTATTATAAAATGGCATCGTCACTAAATAAAATTATTGTTATTGTTGGATTTATTTCTTTATTTCACTCGGCATTTTCAGCAGCACAACGTAAGTGTACTAAAATATTATAGGCAATAAAATTTGCCATAAAATGTTCTGTACCCTATAGCATTTTGGGCGTATTTCCCATGCACCTCACTCTCTTTGGGTAGATTACTTTAGATTTTTTCGCATATACATTACAATCAATGTTATATGAAGCTCCACTGTAAATTCTGTTCATTTCTCATAAGTTACCAACACTTAAAATATACTGTTTTAATTTCTCAGTGCCATGCATTCTTTAGATTACAGACAACAAGCCCTCATTAAATAAATATTTATTTTTTACAGATCGCTCATACCTTCGGATTACTTCACAAGAATTCACAACATTGCCCTTAGATGTAAGAATAATTTTTATTTTTTTTATATAATGTATCAAACCTAGTTTCAGTAATCTATATATTAATATTTTTCTTCTAAAGCATGTTAGATCATTGTTTCTCAGTCTACAAACTTACCAAATTAAAAAAAAAATTATACATGTATAATTGGTTACAAACAAAAATATATATGTGAAAATTTATTCAATTGTTTTGTTTTCACAATAAAAAGAGCTACTAAATATAAAGCAATATAGGTCATGATTTTTAACCTAAAAAAACAATATGATGGTAATAAATACACTTGTAACCCTAGCAATAAGTTTCTATTAAACTAATCAATATTTCTAGGAAATAGTCTAGTGTAAGATTAAATAATATAATATATAGAACCACTATATGACTATTCAAAAGTGCTTGTAATGAGTTTATTTGAATAAAGAGGAATTACTATTTCTATAATGATGGTAAAGCCATCCTCTACATTATTTTCTTATTTATATTATTACAAATATTGTCTATTTTGTAGATTGTCATCCAAGCCATAGCAAGTTTATTTGCTGTCATGTGGGGTGTGCTGAATATAGCTGGCAAATTACGCGAGATACCAGCTGCTGCAGAATTGAATACATTACGGTGGGAGAACCAAAGGAATCTACCATCTTTCTACATGTTCAACCACAGAGGGAGAGCTCTAGCTTATGACTATGTACCCAGTTCTAGTAAAGCAGAGTTAGAGAATATAGAATAGTGTATAAATATATTTATTTTGATGTTATGTTGTAAGATTGTAGTTCAGTATGAAGGGATTAATTGATTATTTTTAATATATATACTAGTATTACTACTGGTTGTAATGTTTATATTATTAAAGTTATGTAAAAAAACATTTTAATATATTTCAAATTCAGTCAACTTTATGATAATTTACAATAACACAATTAGATGCCAGTAGTTAAATTGACATTGGAATTCCTTTTTCTATTTGATGTTGGGTACAGCAGTAATTTTTCTAAAGGGTAAATTGTATAAAATAAAATGTGATAAGATTAAAAATACAGTTTTATTTATAACATTATTAGGTTGGCCCTCGCCATACAAACATTACATTGAAAATATCACAGTTCGATATTGTTATAAAAGAAATTGTATTCATTTAACAATAAAGTTTAATTTATTCTGACATATCTCTATTTGTGTCTGTAGCTATTATTTCATCTTATGTAAATTATCTTCTTTATTTTGACTTCTGGTGGCTGCCATTAATTTTGATTGGTGATTTTGCAAACATCATGGTTTGAGAGAGACTGAGTTTGCTCAGTAAAGTTTGACAATTTCTTATGGGTCGGTATATTATAATTAAATTAATAATTATAATATATATAGATAAAATTATTCATATAATTTTAGTTACTATTAATTAGCAAATTATCATAATCAGATCCACAAATATTGGATATTTTAGCAAATCTTTGAATGGCGAGGGCCATCCACAAACACATGTCAACAATGTACACATTATGAACACTCGGTCAATACTTTCATATACTAATATATAGTTGATAACGCTACCATCCCCCACGGCCTCCTCTATGGCCGCCTCCCCTCCCACCTCCACCGCCTCGTCCGAAACCGCCACCCCCGCGGTTAAATCCACCTCCTCGGCCACCCCCGCCTCTGTTGAATCCACCCCCGCCGCCGCGGCCACCGCCACCTCCTCTCCCAAATCCACCACCACGACCCCCACGTGGTCCACCACGTCCTCGGCCTCCGCCACCACGCTTAGCGCCAGGCGGCTGTGGCAGAAACCTCTTCAAAGGTAACAACTTGGCAGGATCAATGAAAAATTGCTGGCCCTCTTTAAAACTCTTAGCCTTAATATTCTCTCCGAGCTTCACAGACACGTAGTAATCTCGCAGATTGCCAAATATCTCGTCGATCTTGCCTATCTGCTCTTTATTTTCAAGATATATGGGTGCGTTGAAGTAAGGAACGTCTTCTATGTCCACTTTACACACAAGGTCGTCTTGAACGATCCAGCCGTAATGTCCCAAAGGGATAACTGATTCTGGAGGGCCGTAGTCCTGCTGTCTGAAGCCACCGCCGCCGCCGCCGCCACCTCGTCCTCGGCCACCACCGCCACCAAAACCGCCGCGACCCCTGCCGCCGCCACCACCTCGGCCGCCAAAGCCGCCACGTCCGCCACCACCTCCACGACCACGAAAAGACATTTTTACATATAAAAGTCCAAAACACTAAAATAACCTAAAATATTTTAAACAACACGCTTTCCGGGTATGTAGCGATTATCAGTGTTGCCATATTGCACTAATAATCGCTAATCAATCCTAACAAGTGCTAAATCAACTCGTGGTAATTCTAAATGTTTCTTAATTGACCTTATTAATGAATACATAAAATCTGTCTTATTGTTGTATATGTTATATATCTTTAAAACTAATTTTAATTAACTGATACCTTATAATATCGCAATAAAACTTTTCATATTTTTTTTAAAGCTGACTAAAAATGACAGAACTGACAAATAGTGAGTCAGTATGTCAATCAGTGAAACAAATCAATTTTGTGGTTCGTATTTCGTAAATTCAAATGAAACCCTGTTATTTATTTGTTGTATTGAAATAAAATTAATTTCTTGTGTGGAATGTAATATCATGAAATGTAATTTATTGCATCTAATAGTTGCATATTTGTAATGATAATTTAATATTTACTTATAATTGTGTTTATAATGTACAGTTTATGTATATAGAGAGTGTCAGTGAAAATATTTTTTGTGTATTCTTTCTATGCAGTTAAGCAATTTCTTAACGTTATTATCTCGTCGTGTCCAGACGTGTGTTTAGTTTATCAATTTGTCTGGTAATGGCAACGTTGGAAGATGAAAATCGTGATCTCAAAGAGAAAAACAATGAGCTGGTCCAAAAAGTACAGTATTGGAAAATGGCAGCGGCCGCCAAAGAGGACGAGAAACTGGAGTTAATGAAAGAAATTAACGAACTGAGACTGAAATTAAGCGTAAGTGCATTGAGCATGTCATTATTATGTTACCAATAGGCCCTGTGTTAAAAAATAATAGCAGTAAGTACAGTGAGTGGCCACAGTTTTCAAAAACATTATATAATTATCGCGTAAATGTACCTATCATAAAGCAGAGTACTTCCACAATGCAAGTCTTTATTGGCACTTATAAATGTATAACTGTACTGTAGTTTTAATTGTAATTGTAGATGTGTTAAATTTCATCACAGAGTGTGTGATTCCCAGTCATAGTGTTCTAATAATATACACATATATAAATGCAGAGCTATATAGTATGTGAAATATAAATCATCATCATGTGCTTCTTCCTTATCCCATTTATTTGGGGTCGTCGTAATATGTTTTTCACTTCCATTCATCCCTGTTCTCAGTCATCGCGTTATTTACTTTCTTTCTTACCATATCATCTTTCACACAGTCCATCCATGTCTTTTTCGGCCTTCCTCTGCCCTGTGAAATATAAATGATCTAAAGAAAATATGTGTTCAATAACATTCTACAATTTCTTAACATTTAACTGCAACAAACTGTTGACCACCTCAGCACTCAAAGAAAAGTTGCAGACAACTGCTGAGAATATTGCAGAAAAGCCGGCCATCATGTCTCATACTGTATGTAGAGAGATGTTTCTCTCTCTTCCATTCATCCTTGTTGGGTCATCTGGTTATCTACTCCCAGAAAGGGAGTAGATTTCAGATGGATTGTAAAATATGATATAGCAAGAATGCTATATCATATTTTACACATCCATCACATATCTGGCCTTCCTCTACCCTTATAATCATCCACAATCATATGTAACATCTTTCTTAAAAAAGTATCATATAAGTAAGCATTTTTAAAAAAAAAAATTAATGGCATTAAATTAATTAAAATTCTGAATATATATTGCAGCATATTAGAAGTGGTGGGGCAGCAGAGGCCCGTAAGTTAGATGCAGCATTGCAATCCGCCAGTCAAGAAGCTCTCTCGCATCTTGTACAAGCATCAACTGCTGTAGCCAGGTCCATAGAGCTGACAAAGGCATACATGCATGACCGACAAGAGATAGAAAACTTGATGCCACGGTGGAGTACCATCAGCGTCACTCCCAGCAATGAAAGAGTTCACAGAGTGCCACCTTTGCTGATGGGTGGCCAGTCGATACAACCTGTAGTGTCATTGAGTAGGACTGTATTAAATACTAGCTTATGTAAGTTTTTTTATATTTTAATCTATATTCTGGTATATAAATAGATTTTTATAATTAAATTGACAAACAAGCTAGTAGGACTGTTTTAAACACTAAAGATAAAGATAAAGAAGCCTTTATTTCTGTACTATTATACATTATTATTTTTTTTGTTCTCATGTTTATTCATATTATTATAATATACTATAAATTTATTATTAATATATACATTTTTTTACTATTATTATTTGTTAAGTAGTTTAATTTTTTTTTTATATATTAAACACTAGTTTATGTAAATTTTAGTCTATATTCTGCTATATAAATAGTTTTTTATTTAATTAAATTGACAAACAAACTAGTAGGACTGTCTTAAACATTAATTTATGTAAGTTTTAATCTACATTTTCGCATTAAATAGTTTTTTTAAGTAATTGTAATGTTAACATAGCTAATAGCTGACTGATAAGTAACCATTACCTTCACAGCCTCAGTGGTCTAGCAGTTTAGCATATGACTTTACTTCTTATATGGTTGCAGGTTCAATTCCTCAAATAGTACAAACACAAAGTTTTTACGAAGTCTACCTCCTTTTAAAGTAATATATAATGTAATATAAGAACACGGGACAATTCACACTGCACCATTTAGTGCAAAGCTAAGCAGAACTTGTGTTGTGGGTACTAGACCACTGATAAAAATATATAGACTCATTTTTTTTATCTAAATTATGTAATTATATACTATGTTCAGAGTATATAATTACATAATTTAGATAAAAAACACACAAAATCATACTCATGAATATAAATGTTTGTACCATTCCCAGAAACAAACCGTGACTATCAAAAGTAAGGTGATGTGATCACAGACACTGTCGAAATAATCTAACTAACTTGCCTTTGTTTTATATAGATTACCACTATTTCTGTATGTCTATGTTTATTTTCAGTATCTAGAAGCCCTAACAGAAATCGGAATGTGACAGAGAGAGCTGTTCCGTTACACATGCTGCAAGGTGAGTTAGTGAAGTTTGAAATATTAATAATAATAATAAATAAGCGAGGTCATGGAGAAGGGAAGGGGATTGTTAGTAATATGGTCTAACGAACCCATTGCTCATATTGCACTATGTCAGGTTGACCTCCACGCGGTTCCCCCTGGAAACCATCCTGATAAATTCTCGGCGAATGTGTCACGTTGAGCTAACTGATCTGACTTCATGTTCATTCTATCATCCTCCACTGGTGCCCCGCCAGTGTAAACCGTTAGCGAAGGAGGGTGCAACACTAATAGTGTTCTCCAAAAAAAGAAAAAATAGAGGCCTACCCTATCTATGTCACATGCCCACAATGTGTGACAAGAGAGTATTTAGGCTCCTAAATATGTTACAAGAAGAGAGAGAGGGTGGTATATATGCATAATACATGTACACCCACGCGAAGCCAGGGCGGGCAGGTAGTTAGTGCTATATATATAACAAATATATAATATATAAACATACAAAAAACATAACAAAGAAGGTAGGAGAATCAGAAATATATGGTGCTGTAATGTACTGAATTTAATATTTCAGATGTATATATACCTCTGACAAGAATAGATGCAGATCTACCAGGCAGTAATATGGACACTGAGAATGATGTGAACGTAGCAGAAGACAGTATACAGGATTTAGCTCTAGATGGTAAGTATTTCTGTCTTAATAATATTATATGTATGTGTATTTTATTTATATGTATATATATACTAGCTGTCCCGGTAAACGTTGTTTTGCCATATAAATTAATAACGCTATAAAAAAATAGGGGTTGATGATAGAAGGGTGAAAATTTAGGATTGTATGTATTTTTGTATGTTGTATCATAAAAAAATAGAAACAAAAATTTGTCTAAAAATTAAAAAAAAAAATTAGGGTTGGACTACCCCTAACATTTAGGGGGATGAAAAATAGATGTTGGCCGATTCTCAGACCTACTCAATACGCTCACAAAATTTCATGAGAATCGGTCAAGCCGTTTCGGAGGAGTATGGGAACGAAAACTGTGACACGAGAATTTTATATATAAGATTATATATGCTTTTTTCAGATAGTATGGAAAGATCTCTAGAGGGCGCTCAGGATATGTCAGAAGAAAACAATTTTGAAGTATCGTAAGTGTTATATACTATAATAATACTTACTATAATAATACTTTAATTAGAATCCGACCGAAACTGGTTTTCCGGCCGAAACTGAAACTTCAACCGAATATTCGGGCGTGATTTCAGTTTCTGCCGAAACCGAAACCGAAACTCACATGATTAAGTATAAAACTTAAAATACTGAAATTTGGTGCATTTACCCATTATATTATTAAAACGTGAAATGGAAACGCCGTAGGTACATTTTTTTTAATCATTTATTTAATATTATAACTATAAAAAACATATTAACAATTTTTCTTTTTAATTATATTAAGTAAATAAACCGAATTACATGAAGCCGAAACCGAAACCGAACTTTCGGTCGGACACTACCTTTAATAGACAAAATACATAAATAATGTACATAGAGGTGCATCGTGCACAACACGTGTATATATAGAAATATATTTTTGTTTGTTAGTCTCGCAAAATCTCGAAAACGGATGGACCGATTTGTCTAATTTTGATTTTGAAATATTTTAAGAAGTCCAATGAAGGTTTAAAAAGTCGAGAAAATGTGAAGAAATTGTAAGGAAATTAGTAAATACAACATTTTTATACTTCCATACAACCCTTCATTTCTTGCTTTCAACCCCTTATAACCCTATTTTCTTTATTCTTTATATTTAACCAACATCCTAAAAAATAAGTTTCAAGTTTGTAGCTTTAAAAATGACGATACATCCATACAAACTTACATATCTCCTGACAACCCTTTTTCGTACCAAACTTTTTATATACTAAATTTCATTTAAATCGGTTCAGTAGCCTTGGCGTGAAAGCGAGATACACAGACAAAGTTAATTTCGCATTTATAATACATATTAGTAAGGATAAGGAATAAGGATTAACAGTTACATGTGTGTGTGTTCGCAGGAGGAGATTGGAAGCTGTAACAGAAGATTTAGAACCAGAGACTGATGTACTAACCCCACCGAGGTAATTTATTTTATTTTTAACTGCACCAGAAGTAAATTACAAAGATCAAGAAATAATAAGGTACAAAAGGTCTTATCGCATAAGCAATTTCTTCAAAACAACCTTTGGGCAGAGGAGATAAGACAGAAAGGTAGATGGCGCAAGAATAGACTAGAGAAATAAAAAACAAATACTATATACGAATAATAATAATTTACATATATATGCGCTACATTATATGTACAACATATATATTGTGTATAAATCTATACATATAAATAAAATTGGAGTGTCTGTTTGTAATATTGAAATAACCGTTATTTACTACATATGAATATTAATACGGTACATATATATACCAAAATATCATTTTTTATAATTTTTATCTGTTTCAAAATTGACCAATTTTGACGGGACTTTTATTGGCAAATAGCTGATTTAATAAGGTGTAACGGAGACTTATTTTATTTTGAAAAAGAAAGTTAAATTCCACGCGGACGAAGTCCCGGGAACAGCTAGTCTATAATCAATTATCACTGGCTATATGACGGCTTCGGTGGTTTTGCGGTTTAGCACACCGATATACTTTCGATGGTAGCGTGTTCGATTCCTTGCACGGTGCAAATCATACTCACAATCATATTCATATGTACAAATATTTGTACCGTGCGAGTAATCGAACCGGTGAGCATCGGAACTAAGGCGTGTATTTAACCGCTAGACCATCGACGCCATCAAAATCATAGATATACTCTGATAATTTAAAATATAATAGGAAATATTGATAATAAGTTTTGTTGCAGTAGAAGTAGAGTTGATAATCCACTGGAAGGCCCGAGTTGGTTATTGGATAGCCCATCATTCGCAAAGGTATGATATTTATGTTAATATCCAGGTATAAAGAAGGTACAACGAATTACATATTCTTTGAAAAAATCTAATATTATTTATATTTATAGTCCAATGCTTGTATGTATATTACAAGCATTGGATTAGAAATTACCCAGAACATTACTTACAAAACTCATCGAGGAATCGAACCCACGACCAACGAATCATATATAAATGATTACCATTTATTAGGCAGGTCTTCAACTTGTTTTTCCATTAGATTTATATACAATATTATATATATAAAAAAAAAACAAAAAAAATTATTACAATTTTAGAATATAAAAATGACATATTGTATTTAATATTATACAATTTTAGTAATTAAATATATACAATTTCAAATTATTAATTATTATTACTAATTTTATTATTATTATTATATATTATATAAAAAATAACTTGTCCTCCTCTCTTCTCTTCTGCTTGCTGTGCCCAATAGGGTCCATAATTAACTACTTTGAAATGTACCTGTCTATCTATTTGCTGTAAAATTATGGAATGCAAAGATTAAATATATAAATAAATAAATACAATTTGACATATACAATAATTAATAATTATATAAATAATCGCTAATTTAATACCTAAAGATTAATTAATTAATTAACTCTAATGGGCCATGTTTTTCAACACATCATATATGTATGTACCCAAAATCTTTTATATATAAGTTTATTATAATTATTATTACTAAAATATCGTAGAAAATTAACATTATTATTATTATTTCATTGTTGTAGTCTAAGCAGAGAGCATCTAAAAGTCGCACGAACTTAGAGCCGGATTCCACGACGGAGTTTGACGACGGCGCCCGCAGTGACTCGCCGGCTTGCAGTCAACGGATAGATCAACAGGTCAGTACTATATATTGAATGATTATAAAACAAATGCAATATATTATGGACGCTGTAGATAAATTCTAAAACCTAGATTTAAGAATTACAAAATGGCAATTAGTTATGTCAAATCACCGAGATAAAAAACCAGATTATAGATACAGATTTTTCTAAATCAAGGCATGAGTGTAAAAATCTAGTTTTTGAATGGCTGATAAATAAGTCTTTTAATGAAACTGAAGAACTGATTGTGCCCATATGTTAGTGTTTATTTATCTTTGTGTACATAATGAAATATGAAATATATCTAATTTTAGTGTAAAATTAATTAGTTTATTAATTAATCATGCTTTATCCTGTAGTTTCACTGTCTATTTTGCACACTACTCCCAAAAAAACAGTACCGAAAAAAAATCTTTAACTACCTCTGTTAAAGATTTTTTTTCGGACTACTCTAATACTGTTGGCCGGGGGGGAGGGATTATTAGTAAAGGGAACAGTAGCCCCAATGGTAGTAATTATCATGTCAGGTCGACCTCCACGCGGTCCCCCAGGACATCATCATGGTTTTTTTTTGTGGATGATAATGGAATGGTGCACCCGCCTGCGCTAATTCCTAGGTTGGTTAATTCCTAGTGAATTCGTCACAATGGGCTAATTGACCTAACTTCATGCTCATCGTATCATCCTCCACTGGTGCCCCGCCAGCGTAAACCGTTAGCGCAGGCGGGTGCATTATATCATTATCATCTATAAAAAAAAACGCTGTTGGCCGCAGCTGGCCTTTACCATCAGATTATCAATAAAGCGGAGCTGCAATGAAAAATATCGCAAAATATTGGGAAATTAAACGCAGACGAAGTTGCGCGCGTCTCCTAGTGCAATTATATATATATAAATATACAGTGGACCCGCGGTTATCCGACAATCGTTTTGCAGGGTAGTGTCGCACAATCGAATTTGTCCGATCATAGAGGGGGATTTTTTTTACAAAAGAGTACCTTGTAATCCGACAAATTACAGGTCCAGTAATAAGGTTCTATGTTATATATGTATGTATATAGGAGTACAAATATTACTTCATTATGTATGTCAACTACTAAAAGATTCGTTATAAATTAGGTGGTCTAAAATATCACATTTTTATTGAATTGTCCGCTGAACTGATATAATACACAATGAAAAGAGGCAGTAAATAATGAACACCACTGTCTTTATCACATGGAATTAGTAAAATTCAACTAAGCAATCATAATCAAAACAATACCCTACGCGCGTATAACGACACGTACAAGACTAGTCCAAACTTGTTCAATCATGCATTAGCGACGATTGTCAAAAATAGTGCAATTATATATATATAAATATATACTGTAAACGTTTAAGCAAATAACATTATCTATCTATCTACGTGTAAATAAACGTACAGCAACAAGCAGCGCTGTGTGCGTCGACGATGGCGGCGGCGTGCTTCTCGCCGACGGTGCGTCGCCGCAAGCGCACCGCCAGCCCGCGGGGCCCCGCGCCGCCGCCGCCGTCCCCGTCCCCGTCCCCGCCGCCGGGGCCCGGCTCCTCCCCGCTGCCGGCCGTCCCGAGGGCCCGCTCACGCCGCCATACGTACGTATATGCTACTGATTCTAACTACCTAACATACCGTACTAGCTTGCCCGCGCGACTTCTACGTGACACTTATCATTATATATCGCCCAATTTAGATAATATATTTTTAAATTATAGCCTCTGTGCTATTCTGATGTATAAGCTATGTTACTGTAAAGTTTCATCAAAATCCGTTGAGTAGTTTTTGCGTGAAAGAGTAAAACTCATCCATCCGTACTCACAAATGTTCACATTTATTTATTACTAGCTACTCGCCCCGGCTTCGCACGGGTTTACACCCGTAAGCGAGAGGAGCGTACCTCATCTCAAATAATGACAATATACAGCAACAGCGGCCGCGTGCTGAAAGTGTTGGTGGCGAAGATGCGGCTGGACGGAGACTCGGAGGAGGAACCCACGCCGGCCAAGCGCGCCACCAACGAGGGCCCTGTGACCCCCGCCACCCCCGTCGGGGCCCCCGTGACCCTCGCGCACGCCCCCAGCCCCAACGGAGCCACCGATGCTGCTCTCCTTGTCTTGTAATTATATACTCTTTTTTTTTTATCACACAATTATGTATGTCTTGTTATGAGATAGATTTCCGAACGAGCGATAGATTAAACAAATATGTATGAATATTCAAAAGTGAAATAATTTTCTATTCTCTTCTAATTCAATTTTAGCTAATCAGTATGTAATCTTTCAGAGAGCATAAAGTGAAAAGAGAACGTGGGAGTGGTGATCGGCGCCATGTAAGCAGAAAGCCCAGCGGTGGGCACGCGTCTCATCTGCCCACTTCAGACGAACAGGAACACCCACTAGGGGACGATGACGGCATGGCGGGACTGATGGAAGATCACAAAACAGGTATGTAACTGATAGTCATGTCTATAGTTGTAAATAAGTTAGCTACCGTTATTTAACCGCATTTTATCTGTAGCTAACCATTTTGGTTAGCTACAGATAAAATGCGGTTATTAACAGTTAGTTATACGACAAAGAGAAAAAGTAAAATCTGACTTTTTTGTAATACTTTTGGATCTAAAGTGTTTGTGATATATTTTTTTTGTTTTCTTGTTTTGTCCAGTTTAATATCACACAATTACAATACTAGCGAACTTAAAAATTACAAACTTCGGAAAAGCAACTCTAAAGTTATACGTTTAAAGTCGAAAGTACTAACCCACTAACTCTATAGAATCTAAAAAAAAATGTAATACATACAATTATATAAATATTGTAAAAAAATTGTATTATTAATTATGAAAATTACTATTCTTCATAGACAAATCTGGCCTAAAAAATACCATGGATGATGAAAATTGGTATGACAGCATAGGCATTGGCAGTCGGGTCAGTGCCGAGCTCGGTCATAGTAGAACCGGTAGCACTGACCTCGGCCATAGTAGAACCGGCAGCACTGACCCCGGCCATAGTAGAACCGGCAGCACTGACCCTGGCCATAGTAGAACCGGCACTGACCCAGGTCGACGGGCGATCAGCGGTGACCGAGGTCAGAGTAGAGCGGGCAGCGTTGACCTCGGACAGACTCGGACGACCAGCGGCGGACACGACAGCGACAGCGGCAGTGACCACCACACCGAGGGCCGCACTCGACGCCCGAGGAAGGCGGTCACTTACAAGGAGAAGCCGTTGAATAGGTAATTTTAATTGTCAATTTTTGTGATTCTTTTTAATGGATAAGGTTTATGACTTGGCTTGGTGATACGCAAGCTCGTTTGTCCCCTGTGCTATAAAAAAAAGTTTTTTGGAAATACTTACATAATATACATAGAAAAGATCCACATATACAAATAATATTGCTCATGAATACAAATGATTATAAGAAGGAATGTAGAAAACTAATATTTTTTTATAATATCACTCAGTTATTAAAAAACAATTATAATCAATACTTTTGCCATAGGCATTCTAAATTAGACTTTGATAATAAAACCTTAACCAAATCACTTTAGCATCAAGCTTGCTAATTGTATACTGAACTGGCTGAACTAAAAATATTAATACAAAAAAACCTGATGTTCAGGTTTTTTTGTATTAATATTTTTTTTCCTACCGGCCAGTTCAGTATACAGATTCAATTGAAAAAAACTGGCAAGAAACTCAACTGAATTTCTTTATTTTTTAAAAGCCAGTTTATTTACATTGTAGACTTATATGTGTCTATGTCTAACAGTAAATAAAAATCCCGTGAATAGACAACTATTGCCTTGTACTTTTGTCATTTAAGTAATCATTTAATATGATTTAACAGATGGTCTAAATCAATTATGGTCGAATTTCCGGGACCTGTAGACCTGTGATTACTGGCATTTAATAATGTACTCTTTGTGCCCGCGGTTTCACATTTTATAGCCTGTGTTATTCTGATGTATAAGCTATATTACTGTAAAGTTTCATCAATATCCGTTCAGTAGTTTTTTGCGTGAAAGAGTAACAAACATTCATCCATACTCACAAATTTTCGCATTTATAATATTTATAAGATATTGTTTGTTTCAGGAAAATGCGGAGATGATCAATAAATTAATTACAGTATTAATATTAATTATGATTGCAATATTGTTTTTGCTAAAGCACAGCTGAACGCGCCTTTTTCCATTATTATATTGAATGGATATAGTGTTCGAATTTACTAGAACTGTACTATTAGTACAGTGTACTAAACGTGCCTTCTATGTACGCGTGAAATTTGTACGATGTATTAATTAGTACTGGACGAATACTGCCACAAAACAATATGGAATTACAGAGAACGCACTCGAAACAAGAATAGAATAAATTATTTATTCGTATAAAAGGCTGTACGGTCTAAGGATCTTTGCCTGTTCCATCATTGAAAAGTAGATGGAGGACTATGGAAAAAAAAATTATAAACTTGAATTGAAAGAAATTTGGAAATTCGACTTTAGGGGTATAATGATAAAGTCGAATGCCGTTTTTGTTTTAACTTATTTGAAGTATGCGATGTATTCTTTTTAAATCCGTTACGACGCGCGCCATTTTGTTGTAGTTTTATTGTACTACGTCTGTAAACTTTTGTGACTTGCAAAGTTTTATCGCAATGCCTATAATGGCGCATAAATTCTGAACAGACGAACAGAATTAATATCGATTTCGTAACTAGTTATGTGATAAAATAATAAATCATGGAAAACACCATTTATATACATTTTTTAATAAAATCGACTATTTTTAAGCCGATTTTTTTCAACCAGTAGGTTTATAAAAAATATGACCTAAAAAGAAAAAGAACACACAATGTTAAGGGTCCAAAAATAAGGGCTGTAATAAAATGATTTATGTATATTCGATAAATAATGGATTTTTATACAGAATGTCTCTCGCGTCCCCGACAGTTTTTTTATTTAAATTAATTGGAGTTTTCCCAGAATGTAAATGTAGAAATTGCATTTTATATACAAAAAATTAGTATATGTATTATTGCATGTATGTATATACCTCTGAGTTTTAGGTTAACACTTGATTACAATGTTAATAATAAATTAACTTATACTAATTAAAGAAAACGAATATGTTTCAATCATGTACACGTGTATAATGCATTGTTTTTTATATTATTTCAATAGCCTCGATTAAGTAAGCGATTCTTACTTATTTCATGTTTGAAATAAATTGTTTTAAATTATTTAATGGACTTTATTTTGTTTAATTCCGCTACCATAAACATGAGAGAGTCCACAAATATTCAGTGTGGAAACCAGTTAACAATAAAAATAATGTATATTAAACACAAAAGTTTAAAAATACACTTATATTTTAATAATTTCTGGGCATGAAATTGCAGGATATGTGATAATGACAGTTAATTTGTGAAAGCCTATCAGTGGCTTAGTGTATTTTTTATATCACCTCATTACATAGTATAAAACAAAGTCGTAAAAATTGCAACAGATTTTGAATCGGTTTTTTTAAAAAAATGTTTATATATATATTTTGGTAATAAATAAAATAATATGTAAAAAAATCATGAAAATATGTTTACTTATATTCATATGCATATTTATTACCCGGAACAGACAGACAGACAAAAATTGTAAAAAAATGTTAGTATATGCTACTTATATTTATTTTAGAAAAATAAAGTTAAATTCCATGCAACCACTAATTAAAAATAAACTATGGACGAAGTCACATCAGTAGATACAACTTCAATCAGACTGTAGATATAAGTAACCAAAAATAAACTATTTTTTTTTTGTGAGGAAGATGCTATCTTTCATAATCATAAACATAATCTTTAGTAGATATACAAATACTTCAATCAGACTGTAGATGAAAATACTGTGTTTCAGAACCAGTGTCCTCTTCCGACTTTAAGTGAGTTTGTTATGATATAACTATAATGTATGTATATAGGAGTGTGTGTGTGTGTGTGTGTGTAATTTATGTGTGATTTGATAATATAGAAACGCCTATAGAAGTGATGTATCAATAATTCTATCTTTCATAATCTAGTGTTAATAACCACTATATGGTGTGTTTGACAATGAAAATATATATTTTTGTTAATTTTATTATACACATGAAAAATTGTTGGCGTCTTGCAAAGGGTACGACATTTGATAGGAACTAGGAATATATAACACATCTACATGAATAAATGAATCCTTATTCCTGGAATCATCCTATGTCTGATCTTATACAGCGAAGTCAGCTGTTCTTTTTCATAGCATTTTCAAACAATTTTATATATTTATTAGAGATTCTATATAGAAATCGAATAATACAATTTTATGTTAATTTAAAATAAATGAAGTAAAATAAAACAAAATTAAATTAATAGTTAAGTTTAATAAATTACATCAACTAATACGAATTTATGGTCATAAAAGTAGATATAATAATGTTATGACGTTAATAAATAAATGAACATATGGAATTATTACTTTAACAACAAGTACACTCACCGAAATATCAACCGAACATGTTTCAATCTTTACATAATACTGGCTATTCGCCCGGGTGTACATGTATTATATATATACACCTACCTCTATAATCAACCTATGTATTAAATAAAGCCGCTTCAAAATCCGTTGCATAGTTTTAAATATTTAAGCATACATAGGGACGGACAGACATCGACAGCGACTTTTCTTTATACTATGTAGTGATGATAAAACAAAGTCGCAACCGTTGTCTATCCGCTTATATCTTTTGAATTACTCAACGGATTTCAATGCAATTTTCAGCAATAGATAGAGCGATTCAAGAGGAATGTTTATATGTATAATACATGCGAGTTATAGTAGAACGAGCCGAGAAATTCAATTATTTGTAATGCGTCTGTGCGAAGCTGGGACAGTCGTTAATTAATTATCAATAATATTCTAATTATATTTGAATGAGGTCTTAAAATTAAAATACTTGAATTACATTTTAATAATACATAATGTTTCCGACTAATCAAATAGAAAGCAATCCGTGTATGTGCACTCTAATATCATCTCTATGTAAAGGCATCATGGTTTATAATCTATTAACACGAAAATATAGCTACATTATTCAAAATTTACTTAAACTCGCGATTTCGCTGAATTTCATGGTACAAGTATTGGACAAGACCTCAAGATGGACTTGGTCATTTATACAATACTAGCTTTTGTACGCGTCTTTGTCCACTTAACCTGATTGACTAGGATCAAAAGAAACTATGTACAGAAGAGGGATTGTTAGTAATTATTATATTGTGGCTAAATCTAATAAAATTACATAGTATAAAACAAAGTCACTGTCGCTGTCTGTCCGTCACTATGTATGCTTAAATCTTTAAAACTACGCAACGGATTTTGAAGCTGTTTTTTAATAGATAGAGTGATTCAAGAGGAAGGTTTACATTTTTTTACATTTACACAGCCGGGTGGGTGGTTAATATTATTATATTAGGGTAGTATTACGGGTGTATTAGGGTGTATTTAGGGTAGTATTACGCCCTGTTGGTTCCATACAGTTCATAAGTAAAACTTAGAAGCAGAAACTGTCTTTTATTTAACAGTAATGTAGACTTCTGAATAATAACAATTATTGATAGAATTTTTGTAATGTTGTCTGTTTGTATTCACAATTCAAAGAAATTACTGTTTTTCGGACTACTCTAATGCTGTTGGCCGCAGCTGGCCTTTATAGCTTCATCGGATGATAGGGGGCGAGTGTAGATGGTACTCCAAACCAAAGGACTTATGGAGCAGCTGAAGGCCAACTCCCGCCTGACGGATACAACTTTAGTCTGAGGGCACCGGTAAGAGTTCGAACCTCGGCTCAGGCCGTCGTAATTTCGATCCCCGTTTGAATTATACGGGGGATCGATCGGAGGGTACGAAATGATTTAACCGAACGGAAAGTTCTATGGGTGTGGAGATTTGGGCTCAGCTGGTAATGAAGAATTATCCAACATATTATAAGAAAGTAAGGAATACTCAAAGTAAGGGTAAATGGATTGTTAATAATGGCTTAATAACTATTGCTAACAAAAAAAGTACCATGTCAGTTTAACCTCCACGCGGTTCCTCCTGGAAATTTCACCAGTTTATAGTCGTAGCGTGATGTTATATAGCCTTATAACCTTCCTCGAAAAATGGGATATACAAAGATAAAATAACCTTCAAAACCGGTTCAGGAGATCCAGGAATTATACAAACTTACAAACTTTACCGTAATACAAAACTATAGATGATACTTCTATTATATAACAATGATGAATATTAACGTATATATCTACGAATTGACTACACGTAAGTTACTAGTCATACTCGTGAACACAGTTATCCGCGAATTGACGTCATACTCGTGGACGCAGTTGTATGACTTAGCTTGGCGCCGCTTGCTTGTCCGGAGGCTTCCCTGCACGCAATTCGATCGTCGCTGAAGGCTCGGGCGACGCCGAGTCCTGTTAATGCATAGATATGTGAATATTAGGAAAACTATAAACACATTATTTATGAAATAAAATGAAAGAAGCGGCCTCATCGCTGAAAAGCGATATCTTCCAGGCAACCTTAGGATAGAGAGGACTTGAATGAATTTCAGGATAATTCACACAACGCCATCTAGTCCCAAGCTAAGCAGAGCTTGTGTTATGGTTACTAGACAACTGATATTAATACATATTTTATTTTTTGTAAATACCTACTTAATGTATATAGAAAACACCCAGACAGGTACAAATAATCATACTTATGAATACAATTTTTTGCACCATGCGAGGAATCGAACCCGCGACCATCGGATGTAAAGCGGTATGCTAAACTGCTAGACCGACCGACCTCGGTAGGTCCTCAGTTAATTCCATGGCGGATTTCTGTATGTATGTGTGTATATCCCTACATATATGTAGTAATCTCCTGATTACTGTATGTACAAAGAGGTCACCTTCTCGTCAGTGGTGGTGGTGGAGTCTTGGTTCTGTCTGCGTAGCTCCACGTGGCCGTAACAATGTTCGCACTCGTCGTCGCTCGTCTCGGAGTCCGACTCGCCGAATCCTTTGGGCTTCTCGTATATACAACAACCTGTTAAATAAACAACTATACTATATCAGATGACTTTACTTTGCCGTTAGAATAGAAGTAGCGCATATATTGTTATTTTATATTTAGTTATATTGTTATTCTTTATAGACACATATACAGTAGAAGTACTTACTATTTACTTTATTTTTATTTTTATTATAATTACGTTTAAGGTGGTTTGCCATTATCAAAATTTAATTTCTACCATTAAATGCAATATATCTTACATTGTATTTAATGGTAGAAATTAGTAGTAAATTTCTACAAACCACATAATAAACTACTGTATATATTCATATTTCTGAGGTTGGTCAAAAATAAGAATAGTTATAATATACTTTATTTATGACATACAAGATTGATTGTAGAAATTTAATTTCTACTAACTACTACATAAAACAACTACTTTATTTAATTACATTTTTGAAGTTGGTAAAAAATAAGAATAGTCGTACCACACTTTTTTATTTGTAACATACAATAATTATTACAGAACACATATTTACAATAAGGCGAACTTACTGCTAAGATTATATTTTCAAGGTGGTTGCCTTGAAAATATAATCTTTAGCAGTAAGTTAGCCTAAGGTTATAGGGAGACGCATTTATATATCAAAAATGTATAATTTAAGGAGTTTTGCTTACATTTGGACTTCTTTTTGTTCATGTGCTCATTGTCGACCGTGTCTTCCGCCCATACCACGCTCCTGCGGGTCGGCGCGCGGGCCGGCTGCAGCCGCACCACCGCCTCAGGTTCCACATGCTCCTAACCATAAATACAGGCGTATTAAAAGAGTTTATGAGAGTTTAATATATATATCTAATATCTATTAATCTAATAGTAGTAAATATATTTGTTTAACTAGATAAATAAGAAATCTGTACATAGTAAAGAGTTAATCTAATTAAATTAACATCTAAACATGAAGAAGAAATGTATGCGGTTTTAAATGATTTTATTGCTTTAAATGCAATATAAATGAAAGAAAATTTACAGGCATGTAGAATGGTTACATATTGGTGAACGCTTGTTAATTATTACATAAGATCTGCTCTGTGCAATTACCAGTATTTTGTGAATAATTTAATTTCATTAGCAGTAAAGAATCAGTGAGTTGCAAAGCTCGAAGAACTTGTCAGGCGCTCTCCGTCATATCCACTGGTTGACGCCAAACGTCGTGTTGATTTTATTTAGGGATATGGTAATGGGGCACCCTCCAGCGCTAAAGGTTTACGCTAGCGGGGCACCAGTGGAGGATGATAGGATGACTATGAGGTGAAGTCAGTTAGCCCAACTTGGCAAAAGGCAATTTATCACGATAGTTGCTAGAGGGAACTGCGTGGAGGTCAACCTGACATGATATATTGCTAGCAATGGGTTCCTTAGCAGGGGATTGTTAGTGATGTAAACGAATGATCCCATTACTAGCAATGTACATTGTTAGGTTGACCTTCTCGAGGTCCCCCAAGAACCCATCGTGGTAAATTTGCCACGGTGAGCTAAATAATTTCCAAGCAGTAAGGCTTTACAACTCTTTGCCCAATAGTTTAAAGAAAATACAGAATTAGAAGCTTTTTAGTAGGAGGTTGCGTTGTTTTCTGTTGGAGCAATCATTTTACAGTGTTGATGAATTTCTTAACAGCAAAAATTGTATAAATTCAAACACAATATAAATTGTTACTGAATAAATAAATATCAAATATCAAATAAACTAAAATCGTGCTCATCTTCTTATCTTCCACTGGTGCCAGCGTAAATCGTTAGCGAAGCTAGATACAACATTCCATTGTCATCCATAACAAAACTCATAAATATAAACACTATAGGATAGGGGCTGTTCAAGTATTACGTAAGCAGATTTATCACAATTATTTACCCCCCATCCCCCGTTGTCAGCAAAAGTAAGCAAAGCTCTTACCCCCTCCACCCATGCTTACGTAAACATCTCTCAATTAATGTATTGTTTTTTTAGCAAAGACAATGTGAGGGTTGCCATTCGTGTAAAAAAGTAAATTACGACCGATGACGTAATCATCATACAGACTCCCCCACCCCCATGTCATCCAAAATAAGCAAAGAAAAGACCCCCCGCCCCCCTATAGTGCTTACGTAATGTGAACGGCCCCATGATGGGAATTAGTAACTTCCATTGCTAGCAATGTACCATGTTAGGTCGACGAACACGTGGTTCCCCCTGGAAACCATCGTGATAAATTCTTGGTGAATTTGTCACGATGTGCTAACTAACCTGACCTCATGCTCATCTTATCATCCTCCACTGGTGCTCCGCCAGCGTAAACCGTTAGGGCAGGCGGGTGCACTCTTCCATTATCATACACCAACAAACACTATAGGATAGGAAAATTATGAAATCCTTATTTGAAGAGCATAAGGAAACATGACTACAGAATATAAACAGTAGCTTTGCCCACGGATTCGTATGCTATTCCAAATAATAACTGGTTACATTTTTCTTTGCTAACCAATCCTTACTAATATTATAAACTGTTTTGTATTTAATTTCTATTTGTATATTGCTTTATAAAAGAAATAAAAACAGAACAATGTTAATGTAACACTGATTTTAGGTTGCTTATATATATACATCCCGTTCTCTTAGCAATAGTTAATTTCAAACATGTTTTACTAAGTAATAAATACATATAATATTATTTAAATAAAATTTATCTGAAATGAATAATTAAATACAGTTTCTGATAAGATAAAAACAAGTAGTTACTGACAACTATATTCATTGTAGAGTATTTATATATTATACAGCATGTTTCATAAAAAAAGATTATTTTACAACGTTTTTGGTATACAAATTATCGACTTCACTCTCTTTGTAACCTAGGAAATTGGACAGAATTTCCCTAGTATGCTGCCCAAGAGTGGGAGGCGCTGTTCTCGCGTAATTACCACCCTCACTATAAACTGTCGGTGCTCCCACCACCTTCACGGTCCCTGCTTGAGGATGCGGCAGCTCCTTCACCAGCCCTATAGCTTTCACGTGCTCATCTTCGAAAACATCCTTCATCGTATTCACTGGACCATTCGGGAACGATGCATCGCTGAATATTTTCGACCATTCCTTCCTCGTCTTTGTTTTTATCACATCACTTATAATCTTTATAATGGCATCACGATTCTGTACGCGTGCCGAATTATCTTTAAAACGGGCGTCTTGTATTAGTTCTTCTTTGTTGATCCGCTTGCAGAAGTCAGCGAATTGGGCGTTCGACCCTGTGCCTAATACCATATCACCGTCTTTTGTTTTAAACGCTTGATACGGGACTAGATTCGCATGTGCGGTACCCCATCGTTCGCTTTCGATGCCGCAATTCAAGTAAATATTAGCGATATTGATCATGCTGGATATCTGCGTGGAGAGAAGGTTGCAGTCTATCTTCTGCCCTCTACCAGTAACTTGGCGGTAGTAGAGCGCCGTCATAACCGCTCCGAAAGCGTGGAGGCCTGTGGTCACGTCTGTTATGGCAACACCTGGCTTTACGGGGTTGCCGTTCCGTTCGCCTGTTGCGTTTAGAAGGCCGCCCATAGCTGATGCTATAACATCGTAGCTGTAAAAAAATATTGATGTGAATTATTATAATTAATTAGTAAATTGCTAAAATAAAAAAAAATACTAAAACTACTAAGGTCAAGCGCGAAAAGTTTACACTCTTTCCCGAGGAGATAAAAACCATCGCTCCTAAGAATATCCTTCAATTCTTGTCCCTGACGGGTCTAGGTAGCGAACTTTGAAAAAGGGCGAGCACAATGGATCTATGTAGGTCGCAGTGCTACAGGTTCAAGCACCTGACAATAGCCCAAATAATCCAATAAAAAAAAAGGTCAAGCGCCTATATTTAAGTAGTTTACAACCACCATGTAGGTACATTTGCATATTGCTCCGATTCTTATTACTATTCCGATTTGTTTATTATATATGATAGTGATTTCATTCCTTTATTTTCATTTGAAATGGATAATAGGTAATATTAGACGTTGTTTATAATATCATACTAATAATATAACAAGTGTATATAGATAATAACAATATATAAATACAGACCATTTTTTTTCCTTACTTATATATTTAAGTATTTTTAAACTAAGTACTCATGTTTCCGCACTGAATATTTGCGGTCTCACACATGCAAATGGTAGTAGAATTAAACAAAATAATAGATAGATATATCGTTTATTTGTTTGTTACTAATCACACACAACATGTTCATAAGAATAAACAATACATAATACGACATAAGATTTATAAAATTGTGTTATGTGTGATCTGTAGCGATACACACTGGTCACTCTATTCTCCCAAATTTGAATTTAAATGAAATAGTATTGTTGTAAATATGTACAACATTAAAAAAAAAATACGAGCTGAGTTTCTTGTCAGTTCTTCTCATCTCGAAATCATTCCGAACTGACGGTAGATTTGACATATCATAAGAGTCTGTAATAGACCTACATGAAAATGGATATATTGAAATTTGAATTTTGAATACAAAAAGGTCGAAGCTCAGCGTGGAACATTGTTCAAGGAACAAAACACTGATTTTCAGCTTTAACCCATTTGAGGGTACGTGAAAATAATAATTAAAATAAATATAAAATAAAAAGAGCAATATTATTGATGATTGTCTGTGCGGTGTGTGTATAAAAAAATTAATGTAAATACTATTATCAATCTATTAGGTAGTGAAATGGACTTCTTCAAAATAACACCCAGTTATATAAATGATTTACCCAGGTTTTTTAGCGTAGGGTCCTGTAGGTCCGAACCCTGTAATAGCACAATATATCAACTTAGGATTGATCGTCTTCAGTTTCTCGTAGCCAACCTCGAGCTGATCCAGCTTCCCGGGCAGATAGTTCTCAACCACTACGTCACATTTCTTTGCCAAATCGTATATTATGTTCTTACCTGAAAATCATTACATAGTATAAAACAAAGTCGCTGTCGCTGTCTGTCCGTCCCTATGTAGGTTTAAATCTTTAAAATTACGCAACGGAGTTTGAAGCGTTTTTTTTAATAGATAGAGTAATTCAAGATGAAGGTTTATATATATAATACATGTACACCCGCGCGATACCGGGGCGAATAGCTAGTGTATTATAAATACAAAATCGGCGAAAGGGATTCTCTTTTGTTAGTAATGTGAACTGGGACCCCGATCCCCCTGAAAACCATCATGATAAATTCCTGGTGAGTATCTCACAATGGGCTACCTGACCTGGGCTTATTGACAGCTTCAGTGGTATAGTATACCATTTTTCTATCTGATGACCGCAGTTTCGATTCCTGTTAGTATCAGTCTGGATGTCTTCTATGTAAGTATGTATTTATTGGCAAAAAAAAATTCCATGTATTTGTATCAGTTGTCTACTACTCATAACACAGGAATAGAATATAATTGAAAATTCTTTATTCAAATAAACTTAATTTAAGCATTTTTGAATAGTCATAACATTTTTTTTTTAATCAGGCTCTGTAAATTTGGGAATAGTGCTGTGTGAATTGTCCTGAGATATTATATTCTTTTTATATTTAGGACTGTAATAAAAAATAAATAAGTAGGTCCATGATAATGTAATAAGCCCATAAGTAATGGTATACAGACATTTCTCTAATTATATTATCTGTGACCTAGATACAGATGATACTGTAGAATTTATATATAAATTAAGATCTTTGTTGTTATTTTCCATCACATGTACAATAACATCTCAAATTATCTGTAAATTATATAAATATTTAATGTTACACCTACATTATCACAATTATGAATATAATTTTGCAGATAGTACCTGTTGATAAGATATCAATAGCTTTTTACTATATAAATAATTCACCGCTTTACTTCTGATGGTCGCGGGTTTGATTCCTTGCATGGTGTAACACATTTATATTCATGAGTATGATTGTTTGTATCCGTCTGTATGTTTTCTATGTATATTATGTATGTATTTACAAAATAAACTAAGTATTTTGTCTAGTACCCATAACACAAGATTTGCTTACCCTGGAACTAGATGGCACTATGTTAATTGTGATTTTATTATTGACAAAACAGTAAACATTTACCAAGCATACTAGCTGATTGCATTAAATAATAATAGCTTCTAATAATATACTATACACAGATATATATGTATATGTGTGTAGTATTTCTATAAATCTTACACATAACATTCTTGTGTCAAAATGTTAGTTACCATACATACTCTAAAATTGTTTCACCAAATTTTATGAAATTTTATATATATATACAGTAGGTCTGAGAATCGGCTACTATCTATTTTTCATACCCCTAAGTGATAAGGGTTGTCCACCTCTAACATTTATTTTGGACAATTTATTTTTATAATGTGGTATAAAAAAAAATCTTTTATTAGTTTTTATACATCTATTTTTAAAAGCGATTTTAATTTATATGGCAAAACAATCTTTTGGTCAGCTAGTGTATATATAAATAATTGTGTTTGTTTGTCTAATATGTATAATATCTATATATATATATATATATATATATATAACTTGTGGAACTATATGGAAACATGATAACTTCCCAATTTTGTAAATGTATTATTGAGGTATTGGTAAGTTTGCACACTGCCAGATTGGATTGTGAACATCTATTGGTGACAATAGGTCTGACTAACCAGTTCGGTATTATATGTAACAAATAATCAAAAAGCGACTTACCTTCCCGACTCTTCAAGTCAACACACACACTCTTTTTATTTCTATTCACAGACAAGAAATAATACGAATCTTTATTATCTTTTATGAATGGCGGACCCCATTTCCTTGCTTCATCGCCGTCCAGACTTTCGACTTTGATAATATTAGCGCCCAGGTCACCCAGGGTCAAAGTGCAAACGGGGCCAGCTATCACCCTCGTCAGATCCAAAACATTGATGCCGGCCAACAAACCTGGCACCTCCGTGGAATACTTCCTCAACGTCAAAGGTTGGGGCTTTAAAATAAGCCGTAAAAATTTCCTGCCGGTTACCATCGCGAGTCACAGTTAAATAAAACATTTTACTCATTCACTGTGTAGTTATCACAAATATATTAACTCAACAAACAAAACTGATAACGTAAGATCGACGGGCAAAACATCTCGACTTACCTCCTGCAAATGCGGACTGATTGTGGTTACTGCAGTACTTGTTGTAGCCATTTCATTACGTTGCACTCTACGATTGTCACCCATGTGATTAGACGTTAATAATCAAATTTCAGCACATAACATGCAAGAAATAAACAAGAAATATATATTTAACACAATATAAAAACAACAGGTTATAAAACATTATAAAACAAGTCACGAATGTGTTTCACTTGCAAAATAACCGAAATATACGCAATTTATGTTTCTAGTTATGTTTTAACAAAAATATTCCATAGGATGTGTCACGAAATTGATTATTTAGAAAGAAAATAAACAGGTAAGTGTAGGTAATGGAACGTTCCCTTGACATTTTATGACAGTGACAGTTGCGAGAAAATGTCAAATTGACAACTTTGTTTTTTTTTATAAAGTAGTTTTACGGCATTGACAACATTGGACAGCAGTGTTGCGACTGCGAGTTTAGTGTTATATCCTTTTTTAGGGAACATGACCAACGGTTTCTTTAGGACCATCGCGGGTTTGATTCCTCGCACAATGCAAACATTCACAACATGAGTATGATTGTTTGTAACGGTCTGAGTGTTTTCTATGTATATTATGTATGTTTAGCGTCTATATTGTTACCGCTATTATTTATGTTATGTTCAGCTGGTACTGGCAGCGACAGGAGGAGGAAGATTAAATAACGAGTCCAGTGGTGGCTATGTATAAATGTAATATTCTTGTGGTATTTACAATAGTTGTATGGTTTTATTATATATATAAAAACGTATATTTCTGTATGAGAAAAGAAGCGATTGTGTCCCAATCTGACAAGCTTGTTATTTCTTATTTTTACAACGTCGCTAGGCAACGGTGTTGCCGCGCACTATCCGTAAATCGCCACACCACCCCCCCTCGGAGAGAAAAAGGTGAAAGAGAAACGAAAACAATAAAAAAAAAATAAGATAAAGAAACTACAGATCTAAAATGTCCCTAAAACGAACTCTCCGTCCTGACCTGGTAACTATAGGTTTTTCAGCTGAAACAGGTCGATTAGAAGGAATTAGAGGTGACGAGGAAGGCGAGGGTATTTGGGAGGAAGATAATGGTGGCGAATGAGGAAAAGTTGTGATTGGCGGACAAGATGAAGTTGAAGGAATGGAAGATGAAAGTGTGGATGGGTGTGAGGACTCGTGCATGATATGAGCAGGCTTCACACGATCCAGACTGACCTCCATTTTTTTACCCTGGACGTCAAGAGTGATGGTTTTGTCACGCTTACATAAAATTTTGTGAGGCCCTGTATAAGGAGCCTGCAAAGGACGTCGAATGCTGTCATCTCTTAGGAAAACGTAAGTGGCGGAAGGCCAATCCCTATAAATGAAAGTTGGCGGATTGGAATGATGTGACGCTGGCGTGGGCATGATATTATTCATGGTGGCACGAAGCTGTGTGATGAAGTCGGTAGGATCTTTGATGGTTGATGAAGTGACAGATGGTGTAACAAATTCACCCGGCAAGCGAAGTGTTTCTCCCAATACAAGTTCAGCCGAGGAGGTCTTTAGATCCTCTTTAACTGCTGTGCGCATACCTAAAAGAACCCAAGGTAACGCGTTTATCCATAGATCGCCGTGACACATTAAAGCTGCTTTGAGTTGACGGTGCATGCGTTCCACCATGCCGTTTGCGCAGGGATGGTAACTAGTTGTACGGATTCGACGAGTTGCACAGGACTGCATTAAGTGACGGAATAAAGCGGATTCAAATTGACGACCCTGATCCGTGGTAACAGTAATAGGGACGCCAAATCGCGATATCCAACCGCTGACAAAAGTATCTGCAACTGTTTCTGCAGACATATTTGGCATCGGCCAGACTTCCGGCCAGCGTGTAAATCTGTCCACGGCTGTCAGGCAGTATTGCATGCCTTTGTTGACAGGAAGTGGACCGATGATGTCAATATGAATGTGTTGAAAACGGCCGGATGGATTAATGAAATGACCAACGGGTGTAGAGATGTGCCGGATGACCTTACTGCGTTGGCAAGGAATACAAGTTCGAGTCCAGGAATTACAGTCTTTGTTCATCGAGGGCCAAACGTAACGATCAGATATCAAACGAAGTGTGGCTCGAGAACCTGGATGACTCATGTTATGTAACCTGTCGAAGTATTTGCGTCTAAATGAAGATGGTAAGTATGGACGAGGTTTGCCAGTGGACGTGTCGCATATGACAATGATGTCAGTTCCGGAAATTGTGACATGTTCTAATTTTAAAGATGAAGTATTATTGGATATTAATGCTTGCAACTCTTGGTCTGTTTGTTGAGAGCGACTTAATGAATGATAATCATCCTCCAGCTGAATGGCCTCAATACGCGACATCGTGTCGGCAACAACATTCTCATTGCCCTTAATATACACGATGTCGGTGGTGAACTGTGAAATGAATGACAGTTGATTTAATTGAGGTGGAGGAAGTTTTTCTCGTTTTTGAGAAAATGCGTAAATGAGTGGTTTGTGATCTGTGTAAATAGTGGTATGTTGTGCTTCAAGAATGTGGCGAAAATGTTGCACGCTTTCGTAAATGGCGAGTAACTCTCTGTAATAAGCAGGAAGCGATGCCTGTTTAGGCGTCAACTTCTTGCTAAAAAATGAGAGAGGTTGCCAAGAATTTCCAATTTTCTGTTGTAGACATGAACCTACGTGTGTAGTGGAAGCGTCGGTGAAAAGAGCAAGTGGAGCGTCTGCCACTGGGTGACACAACATAGTAGCGTCAGCTAAACTATCGCGACACTTGTGAAATGCTTGTTCCAGATCGGGAGTCCAAGGAACTGGTTTGGAACCCTTAATTTTGGCATCTGCCAGAATGTTAATTAACGGGGCCTGAAATTCAGCGGCTCTGGGTATAAAACGACGATAGAAGTTTAACATACCCAGAAACCGTCGTAGCCCATGAGCTGTTTCAGGTAAGGGAAAATTCCTGATGGTTTCGACACGATCTGATGGTGGTTGTGTACCTGCTGATGAAATGTGACTGCCCAAGAATGCAATTTCTGGAACACCGAACTTGCATTTGGCAATGTTGATGACGATTCTGTATTGAGCTAAGCGTTGAAAAAGCAGTCGCAGGTGTTCTGCGTGCTGAGCGGCGTCGCGCGAGTAGATGAGGATATCGTCGATGTATGGAAAGCAAAAAGTAAGTCCCCGTGTGACCTCATCGATGAAACGCTGGAATGTTTGACCAGCGTTTCTGAGACCAAAAGTCATGTAGGGAAATTCGAATAGTCCGAAAGGAGTGGTAATGGCTGTCATGCATATATCAGCTGGATTGACAGGAATTTGCTGGTAGGCTTTTACCAGATCAATTGTACTGAAGATGGTGGCTCCTACCAGATTGTGTGAAATGTCCCCGATGTACCGAACCGGATATCTATCAGGAATAGTGCGCGCATTTAAGGCCCTGTAGTCACCACAAGGTCTCCAAGTGGCATCCTTTTTAGGAACTAAATGGAGCGGTGAAGACCAAGCACTGCTGGATGGTCTAGCAGTACCAGCAGCAACCATGTCGGCAAATTCTTTTTGGGCAATCTGAAGTTTCTGGGGAGCAAGGCGACGAGGACGGCATGATAATGGCGGTCCGTCAGTAGTGTTAATGAAATGCACTGTATTATGTTTAACATCGCGAGGAAGACCGGGTGGACGAGTGAGTTCCGGATATTCCTGTAAAATTGTTAGAAAGGGTGAGTCTTTAGAATCACTAATAATGGTCTTGACGCTGGGCTGATTAGATGACGCGCACTGAATCTGATGACGAAGACCGGTTGTTCCATCGACTAGACATCTATGGGTACAATCTGGCAAGAGATTGTAATGAGCGAGGAAATCGGAACCGATGATAGGAACGCTGACGTCAGCTATAATGAAATCCCATGCAAAAACTCGTCGAAGACCCAGGTTGAGATTGAAACGCAGAGTACCGTACGTCGTAATAGCACTGCCATTGGCTGCTTGCAGCACAAAATCAGATTTATAGGCGTGGGAACGAAGGGCGCTTTTAGGATAGCAGCAGATATCGGAACCCGTATCTACGAGAAATCGTCGCTTACTGTATGAATCTGTTACAAATAAACGGCGACTTGAAATGGTATGAGAGGAGTCGGTAGTCGCCTTTACTGACTCCTGTTCATGTTTAAAAATAAATCTTGTTGCCAGTTACAAGGAGTAGTACAATGTAACGCCTTTTCCTTATATATACGGTGGTACCAACATATCCTAGGTTGAGGGCTCCTACTACGACTTTGACATGATTGTGGAGTCCGAGACCTGGACCGACTTCCCTGTCTCTGATAAGCAGTTAAGGAAGCTACCTGCTCTGTGAGTTGGTCAATGCGCTGAGAAAGAGTGGCAAATGGGTCGACGCTTGAAGATGAAGTGACAGGCTGAGATGATATACCAGCAACTGAGGTGGAACTAGCAAGTGGTGTTGCAGGAGATACTTCCATAATGCGATCAGCTAGATCCGCTACCTTCTCTAATGGAAGATCCTGTGCAGCCAAAATGGTCTGAAGGTGAGTGGGCAGGCGACGCATCCAAAGTTGGCGAAGTATGCCTTCGTCGTCACGAAGTGAATCCCCCGTGAGAGACTTGAGGTGCCTCAGAAATTGTGAGGGTCGCCTATCCCCCAGCTCCTCATCACTTAAGAGCTGTCGGACTCTTTTTTCCTCAGATGCCGATAGTCTGCGGATTAATTCAGCTTTTAAAAATATGTATTTGTCTTCCGCGGGTGGTTTGATGATTATATCTTCCACCTCAGCAGCCTGGCTTTGTGACAAATGACTGATAATATAATTAAATTTAGTGGAATCAGCGGTGATGCCAGATAGTTCAAAATTTGCTTCAACCTGCGCGAACCACAATGCCGGACGGTCAGGCCAGAAAGGAGGTAATTT